TCTACATTTTTTAGATTGCTACGTAACTTTTCTTGCCATTTACACTTTTTCCCCCTCTCTAACCCCCCTTTTTCCCCCCTCTCTAACCCCCGTTTTTTATTCTTGAAAGAGAATATTCCCCCTTTCTCAGATGAGCTGGCAAGAAGCCAACCAACCCACTGACTAAAGATTGCTTTTACACTCTCTATCCAGGCTAGTAACAGGCCCGGGTCGGTTTACAAAAGAGCGCTACTGTTCGAGCATTTGTCACGGTTGTTAAATCGTAAATTTCAATTCGACTTCCATAAATCATTCCTTAAGTAGGAACGCGTGCATAAATTAAGACATCGTTGAGGAAGTTAATTACGGCGCTGCCGATATATAATTAAATATAGGGCTGCGGCCAAAGCAAAATGTATAAGTTCTATGTACACCTGAAACGAAAATACATAAAAACATTTCATTATGAATGAAATCAATTTATTCTTTCCAAGCAAAAACTAATTCGTAGATAATTTTTTTGTTGCCAAACCAGGAAACAAAACTTTCGACACTTCTGATTCTTTATGAACTTCGACACGTATACGTATAACGTCATGATTTAAATTTAATGTAATAAAAGAACTTTTTCTCAATATCAATCAAAGAATTAACGATGAATCGGGTGATTATACTGTCCAATCACGTATTCCAGTTTTATGTACTAATCTGAAATAATAAATGCTGACGTTAAGGAAACATTTTCGACATGCAGTCCCGTGCTTTCTTCAACGTCATAATCTAACCTTATACAATAATAATATATTTTAAGGCAAAGCAGACAGAACAAACGATAAAAGACCCATGTTGTCAAAAATTTTGCGCATTGTGCTGCAAAATTAAGGAAATTAAAAGATAAATTAATATATTTAGTATTTCTTATATAATAATAATATATTTAATGCTTGGAAATGCTATTTTTCTTTCATATTTTGTAAAACTTACAAAATTTTTATTAACAAATTCTATGATTTGAGAGTAAGCAGTGGCAACACATCTCCAAATAAAGCAGATTTTTATCTCCAGCGTGAGAGACTGTTGCCACTCGGAAAATATGAGTGCAAAAATTAGCGTTTTCGGAGTTTTTATTTAATTTCTCGCCTGATTGAGTAAATCAAGTAATTTTATGATAAATCGTACGAAGATGAGAATGGTCGAAATAGCTTCCCACGAATTGTTCGGTAACCGGAACCTCTCTCGAAACTCAATTGCTCGCCGTTCCGGAGGAGATGTTGCCACAAACAAACAGACAGACGCACACAGATTTTAACAGTATAGATATTACGGCCAACTTTACGAAAGCTGGAAAATATGCTTTGGTTGGTTACTTAGACCAGTAACCTATTCAGTTAACTTTAATCCAAGAAAAAGCTCAGGAATTACAATAAATTATCAAGTAATCAGAAAAAAAAATATGGAAAAAGTTTGGCATGAAACTGACAGAGACCTTTCTTAAAAAATGCTAGTATAGAATAAGAATAACTTTTCAGTGAGTTTCTAAACAATCAAATGGTTAAGAAGATGTATTTTTAGAATCAAATTAATGCGGAAAACTATCATAGCTGCGTTATTAAAAGCAAGGATAAAAAATGAGATCATCGTTTTTGTTTCTTTACGAGGGAGGATCTTTCCTAGGAAAACAGCAGAAGTAGATACTAAAGATTATTGCTAAGGCAATAATTAGATTTATGGAAGTATGCGGAAAACCATGAAAATGTCCAGAAGAATGTATTCATGAATTATTAGACATACTGTATCACAATAAAGAACCAACTATATAGTTCAAACTAGAAGAATATTCCAGGTTCCAATGCAATTCAGATGAAACTTTTTAATCATTTAAATAAATTAAGCTTGTAAACAATATTTGTGCGCATTCATTCAAATAATCATTATTACTTTTCTTTCTTATAAAAGTTTTATTTATCTTTTTCCAATAATGTATGTATGGCCAAAAGCTTTGACAAGTAATTGTTTTATATGAAACTCATAGTTCGATGAAAGTTCATAGAAATAATGACTTGATTTTTTTAAGTTGTAAGGTATCTTATGTTAATTAACCAGTTATTATGATTGTCTTTACTACAATTTCTCCTTTCCGTATTCCTCAACAGAATGCAAATTTGTTACAAGTATTTAAGCTGAGGTTTTCGGATTTGAGATACAGAATGTTTCTGACATCGTGCGCGTGATACGTGGTTATTTCCTACCAGCTCTGTTAGTTGTAATTATTCGGCTTCGCGCTCTCTCGCTGCCGATAGTTCTCACTATAAAAATTTCAGGCGTCGGTAAAGTTAATGAGCCGACTTCTAGTATAGTATTTAATTGTGCAATCTTTGACTACTATTCAACGTTTAATTTAAGTTATACTGTTATATTTATTTCTATCACCAAGAGTTGTGGTTTTTGTAGCACAAAAGCGTGCACTTCTATAACAAGTTCTGTTTAAATATAAAGGTCAAAACTTAGTCGCTGTTCTCAGACACAAAGAAAGTCGCTACACACCTATTAAGGTTATACGACTTGAGTAGCATTACCAGATAAGCGCAACCGTACAAGTGCCACCCGCAGAAATTATGTCCCTAGAAGAAGTAACATTCAATCTGCCCCCCCCTCTAAAGGGTCATTCACACTGGGGTTTATCTGAGCTAACGGAGTCAGTTCCATGTGTCGACTACTTCCGCTTTGCCTGCAGTTCAGATTTTTCAACATTTTGCCCTAAGGGGAAAACACGGGTTTTGGAGATGGGTCGGCTACATCAGTTGTCTCTGTTATCTCAGATAGCCCTTCCCACTTATCTTCCTTTCTCTAAGCTTAGATTGTATTTTTCATAAAAAATTATCAGTGAGTTAATTTATTAATGAGTTTTGTTAATTAACTATATAAATTTAAAATTAAGTTTTTTTAAGTTGCATTAATTTTTTACTCATTTTCAAATTTTAAATGCTTAAGTTTCCTTCTTATTTTTTCAGCAAAAATTTATTAGTTCGTTCAAAAGTATGAAATGTAGAAGTAGAAATATCCCTCTTTCTTTCTTCCTTTCTTTCTTCTAAAATCTTTTTAAGAACATGCATTTACAGCTTTCAAAACCTGAAAACGCTAATTGAAATACAATCTAAGCTTAGAGAAAGGAAGATAAGTGGGAAGGGCCCTTAAGATTGCAGGCTCTACCGGCACCAAGAATGGAAGGTTTCAGGTTTATTTTAGACCCTATGCGAGCGTCTATGAAACCAGCTAACATTTTCGATGGTAGCAGTTCGAAACCTTTTGGAAAAGCTACATTTTTGGAACAGTTAGAGACGCACTTTCCAGTTTACCCGGTTGCAGAATTGCAAAACCCATAGAAACCGCCGTGCTTCGAGGACAAGCACTGAACTGGTAATGAAGTTTTATTGGGTGAACCAGGCAGAGAGAGTTGTAAGTTCGAAGTATTTAAAACCGCCCTTGTTAAAGCAACAGAAAGTGAAACTAGAAATGGAACGGGAAAAAACTCGACACGGAGGTTATCCAAAAAAATATTGCCTAGGTTGTTGCCTTGGAAACCCGGGTACGCTACAGCAGGTATTCGAGTTACCGAAGTCTGAAAGTAGGTGAGTGTCAATGAATACACGCACACAGAAAGATATGAACAAGCGGATATTTTCATAGATCTGTAGCAGAAGGAAGCTCAAAGCTTGACGACAGTGAACGTTTTCATAAACGGAAGAAATTTTCGCCCGCTAAAGGCGATCGATAAAATAAATCGCAAAAAAGGAAATTGGAAAAAGATACTAAGATTTTGGTGTCCGCCGAAAACGTCGCAGAGAAAACTACGCAAGGTGAAAACTTCGTGGTACAACACATCGTGGGAGATAAGAAAGCAAAGAGAAAATACCGCAATTCTAAAACATCGTGGTAAAAAATATCGTGGTCGAAAATAAAGCGCTTCGAAAACTTTGCAATTTAAAAACATCGTCTTCGAAAATATCGTGGTAAAAAATAAAGTACTTATAAATCATCGCATGACGATAACATCACACACGTGCGTTTTCAGGTTTTGAAAGCTGTAAATGCATGTTCTTAAAAAGATTTTAGAAGAAAGAAAGGAAGAAAGAAAGAGGGATATTTCTACTTCTACATTTCATACTTTTGAACGAACTAATAAATTTTTGCTGAAAAAATAAGAAGGAAACTTAAGCATTTAAAATTTGAAATTGAGTAAAAAATTAATGCAACTTAAAAAAACTTAATTTTAAATTTATATAGTTAATTAACAAAACTCATTAATAAATTAACTCACTGATAATTTTTTATGAAAAATACAATCTAAGCTTAGAGAAAGGAAGATAAGTAACTGCATGAGGTTACCTCTATAAAAATTGCTTAGTTAATGATGAAATTATTTTCTTTCACATTTGTTAATTTGATATAGTTTTAATGAAAATTTTATAATGTTTTGTTTCCGTTTATTCTTAAAGTATTATTATATGTTCATGTATAGCGCGCAATCAATTTTTTGGATGTCGATTTGTTAGTCATGACGAAAGTCAGTTATATAATATGACAATATACGTTTTGAAAAACACATGTGTACGATGTTATCGTCATGCGATGGTTTGTAGATACTTTATTTTTTACCACGATATTTTCGAGGACGATGTTTTTAACCTGCGAGGTTTTTGAACCGCTTTATTTTCGACTACGGTATTTTGCACTACGATGTTTAAAACTGCGGTGTTTTCTCCCACGATATTTTTTTCGCCTTGCGTTGTTTTCTTCGCGATGTTTTTGCTGCGATGTTTTCGGCTGTAATCGAATTTCTGCCATGACACGTATTATATTGCGGATATGATCATTTTCGTGTGTTAGGAGTTAACTTGGAAAATTCTTAGAAACACATTCCAGCGGAAAAATTGAGAAACTAACATCGGGAGATTTCTGAAAGTCGCCAGACTTTGGAAATCGATAAAAAATAAATGGTAATACAATTATTGAAAACTTACCTTGTTTTGAATTCAGAGATGCTTAGTAGCGACAGAGAGCTTGATCAATATTTCATTGCCCTTAATCCGACATCCAAACTGGAACAGCCATGGGAGAACGTGTTTTCGTATAAAACTGAAATTAAAGATAAATAACAGTATTAAAATATTGCCACGTAAAAAATTATATGCTCATAATAGCATAACATTTTCATTTTACTCTTTTAAGATTAAAAAGATTTTTCTTTTTAGGATATTGATCAACGAGCATTGAAAGAAAACCGAATCATAACGTAAACAAGAACTACTAATTAAAAAAAAGAAAGAAAATGGAAAGAAGTTTAATTTCATCATTCAAAATTTAATCGCATGACCCATATTCCTCAATACTGATTATTTCTAAACAAATTAACTGATACATAATATTTGTTATAATTATCTTGTATTGTTTTAAAAACAATGCAATGTCCCGTTTGTGTCTAATTGCAGAAAATGTGGACTTTTGAATGCCTACAAGGACCAAGTTTTTCTTCTTTCCTTTTCTAACCCAAGGTTCTTCTTCTTATCATATTTAGAAACAATGATTATATTTCAATTATGACGGTTAACCAACAAGTAGAATCTTTTATGAAGAAAGGAATTACGACAGTAATTGTCCCAGAATGCCTTAAGGGGGCTTATACACCTTAAACCCCTTATGATCTTCGAATATGTGACTGTTGCAAGAATTTGGAATATTTTATTTATTTTAAAAGCAATTACTTCCAACCTTTTACAGCTGAATCCATTATATAGCTGCTTTGGAAACTAGTAACCAGTAAGTTTGTGTTGCCACCAATATTTTTGTAATTGAATCCGCTTTGTGACAAAAATTTTTGTCATGTTTCCACCTTGCGCGCATGGTATTTTAAAAATGGCTATGGACTACTTAAATTTAATGGAATTCCTTATATGGGCACCATTTTCTAACTGAACCAAAAATTTGATGAATATTTTAGTATTAACGCTCGAAAAAATTAATTAATTAAATTATGGCACGAAAACATTACAGATTTTTTTAATAAAATACATTTTATAAACTCAACTCCAAATAAAATAAACAATTTAACATGGAAATTCTTAGAATTTTGGGTTCACAGTAGTTTCCAAATGTTATAAAAGCTATATATTAAATGTGGAATTAAATTATACAACATAATGCTTTAAACTGTGCGCGCAAGGTGGAAACATGACGAAAACATTTGGCACAAAGCTTATTAAATTAATAAAATATGTGTGGTAACACAAACTTTCCGATTATTATTTCAGGAAGCAGCTATATTATGTACTCAGCTGTAAAAAGTTGGAGGTAATTGCTTTTAAAACAAATAAGTTATCCCAGTTCTTGCAACAGTCACATATTCGAAGATCTTATACGTTCTAAGGTGTATGAGTCCACTTAAGAAGGAGAGTTTAATAGTTTTAAAGCGTAGATCAAAAGAGTAGATTAAAACAAGTAGATCTAATTTAGAATCTAAAAAAAAGTTTTTTAAAGTGATTTATGATTACTGCCGGTTTTTCGTATAACGGCAAAATAAAAATAAAGGGGGAGGAGAAAAATGTTAAGATTATTTCCACATATTTATCAGGAACATATTTCATATCCAATTTTCAAGTATGAAATACCTTCATTTTACCCACAGTGCCATCAGTCAGTAGATCTACATCAAGATATACCAAGCGAACACACCGTCAAAATCCACTGCTAATTTCTTGGAAAAAACGTTACAGGAAACGGGTAAAAGATCACGCTGCTTCATTCATATCTCTACTAAATCACCTGATATATGAACCATACATTTTCGCGCTTTTGGACATTTTAAAAGCGAATTGTCCAAAAGTCGATCTAGAACCCTCCTTGGAGTTTTCAAGAGAAATGGGGTAAAATACTACTTTCGTTACTATAAAAGTCTGTGTTCGCTTAGAAATTATGGTGCAGAAAAATAATAAAGAATAAAGGTTATCAAATAAAACATTTAAAACACAAAAATTTGAGATAAAACATTTCTGTAAATATGATAAAAATCGTCTAAAACTGTGCGAACAGCCTTTCTATGCAATTAACAGTCTCTCACTTTAAAGAAAAGGCAAATCAAGATTTGAGTTGGCCAGAAAAAAGTAAAGTCCCCTTCATTACGGATCGTAGAAGGACCAATTAGTTCATTTGTGTGTCAAGAAATCTGATGTTGGTAAATCTTCTAAAAGAATTTTCTGCTAATACAAATAACAATCAAATTTAATTTTCGAAGGAAAATTACTGGATATTAACATACCTGTATGCATTAATTTGAGATCTGGGATAACGAGATATATCACTGCATGATGCTTGAAGATTCAGTTTTTCATTATTTAATAATGTCCATATGCAGCAATCCATCATCAGAATATTGCAATAACTGTAGTATTATGAATATTTTAAAAGTGGTGTTAGGCCTAACGAGGCCGCCATTGTTTTGCATTTGAAACTCTTAGTAGAATACTGAATTAAGTCATTTGGTACAACAACTTCAGTGTCTTTACGTCCAGTTGTAGAGACATTAGGTATTTCTTGGAAGTCGGACGGCTGAAAAATGAGCAACGCCTTCGCCGGGACTCGAACCACGGGTCTCTCGAATTCGCGTCGAGCATGCTGACCACAACACCACTAAGGCATGCTAAGAAGGCGAGAGAAATACCTTACGCACTCCCCCTTTTAAAGGACCCAATCGCCAAATCCTGGGTGTGGAGAATCATTATCCACCACCCTTTTAGTTCAGGCGCCACTTTTAATGCATTCTTTTTTAATTGAATTGATTCGCTTTGGTGAATTTGATAGGTATTAATTGTACATTCTATTATAAAAATTTGTATCCATGATAGTATTTATATTAATTTCTTTGCTTAATCTTGAATGCATTTTTTTGATTTTGAAATTCTGTAAAATTTTATGTCGGCTTTTTCTAGTATGCATTGTCTTAGCGATGCCAGCAAACTAATCTAGAATAATTATTTTGTATACCTTTTTGCCCTTTTCTGATTGAATAGTTGACCTGTTTTTGTGATTTGATTGGTTTACTTGAGTTCTCTATTGGTTAAATGTGCTTTACGAAGTATTTTATAATTTTCTTTGAATTATTTGAATGCATTTGGTTTTTGAATTTGAAATTTTTCATATCTTTATGTTGCCATTATTCTGTATGTATTTATCGCGTTGCCAGCAAACCGATGTAGAGTTTATATTACTTGGAGTGGTTTGTTTTTAAACCAAATTTATGTTTGTATTTGTATAATATCTCAGGGTTCAGTGTATTTTATGATAATATTGTTCAGTTATCAAAGTATTGGTTCTAATTCTGAATCATATGAAGAAATTTTATGGCAGTTTATTGTTGTCTTAGTTTATCTTATGCATTTTTTCTAAATGAATGGTTTTCGATATTGTGAATCTAATTGAAATTAATTGTGTATAATACAGTAATGGTATTATACTCGTATTTTGTTTGTTTGTTGTACATAGTTTTTATTTAAATTAGTTGACTCAGTTTGAAAGTATTTCGTATTTTCAGTACAAATTATGAAAGTATACTCGGTTTGTTTTTTGAATGCTACACGTACTACTTGTAACATGCTTTCTTTAGGGTTTATTAATGACTATGCTACTTATGTCCTTGTATTCTTGAAAGCCTTGCATGCCACTGTAAACATATTTTGCTTAGTGATAATAAATAGCTTCTGGAGGCAGGGGCTTTAATCCGTGGAAGGCAGACATCATGTCAGCTAATTAATGGAGCCCCTATTCTCTGGTTAACGGTTAACAGTTCAGGCGCCACTGTAGAGTCATTAAGTATTTTTGGAAACAGGGAAGATGAAAAATGAGCAACCGCCTTCGCCGGGAATCGAACAACTGTCCTCTGGAATACGCGCCCAGCGTGCCCAATACACTACGGAGGCATGCTAAGAAGGCGGAAAAAATACCTTATATACCCCCCTTTTTAAAGCGTGGCTGGGGTTTTAGAGGACTCAATCGCTAAATCCTGGTGGTGAAGAATCATCATTCACCACCTTTTAGTTCGGGCGCCAATGTAGAGACATTAGATAATTTCGAAACAGGAGACATGGAAAATTAGCAATGTTCTCGCCGGGACTCGAACCACGGACCTCTGGAATACGCGCGCCCAGCGTGCTGCCACTACAAAGAACTACTACTGAACACTACGAAGGCATGCTAAGAAGGCGGGAGAAATACCTTATGCACTTTCCCTCTTAAAGGGAAAAATGAGCAATGTTCTCGCAGGGACTCGAACCACGGACCTCTGCGTGCTGCGCCCAGCGTGCTGACCACTATACTACGAAGGCAGTCTAAGAAGGCGGGAGAAACACACTATACACTGAGACCGAAAGTTAACTTTGAATTTTATGCATCAAAAATTTTTGTCTTTCTGTCCGTTGGACGAATTGCTTCTTTTTGCCTTGGAATTTTAACAATAAAAATTGCGTTTATAAGTGCTTTTAACTGGTTTGGTGTTTTAGGTTTTTTCTGTATTTTACAATTTTTAATGAAAATGTTTTGAGTTTTTAAGTATTTTTATCTTGCAGCGAAATGAGAACAGAATTGATTGAAGAAGAAATGTATCTCTAATGAAATTCGAGGAAATGAGTTTAAATGAAGAGTAGCAAAAAATGTGTATAATTTAATACGACGTGGAAGAAAATCCTGGTGTCTACAACACATATTTTTTTGTTAGATGAAAGATGCGTGGGCCAATAGCAGTATCCGAAATGCACATGCATAGCACAATATCGAACACAATTTGAAATCGACTATGACACTTACTAATAGAAAAAATACTGCCTCTTCTTCTGGTACATAATTCGTTCTAGAATAAATTACATAGTAATGTATGGTAACCGATATAATAAAAAATGTAAGCATTGATTGTGGGTATGCGTGCAAAAGTACCGAGGGGATTTTGAAACATTCAGAGCTTGAATTTCTGAACATTTCTATTCCGGCTCAAATTAGTTTCTGAGGCATTTCTTTCACTTTTACTACACAGGAAATCAAATACGAAGAATTTAACTGTTTATCTATGTAAATCTTCATTGCTGCATCCCTTGTCTCAATACCATCCTTCCTGCCAATTTCAATGGATAATTTACCGATGGATCAGTCGCCTGGGTTCTAGATCTGTGTTCTATCTGTAGTCGTATCTGACCCGTCGAAATAAATTCTCAAGGATTCACCGATTCTTATCTCTCGTCTCGCAACTAAAAATCAGGAAGCCTAAGATTTATTAAACCTCTTATCTACATTTTTCAAGGTCGGGAACGATTTCAGTCAGTTATCAAATTTACACGAGTGTAAACAAAGTATGTTTCTTGCACATAGAATAGAGAAATTAAGATTGAATGTTCATAGATTATAAAGGAAAATTTCATTAAATACAAATCTTGTGCTATTGTAAACTGTCTTTTTTCTGTATTTTGAATAATAATATTTACGTTCTAATAGCTGAGATCAAGTGTAGGTTGGGAAACCACCCAACCGGTATAGTAGTTAGCGTTGCTGACGGCCGTGCCGAAGGACCCGGCTCGAATCTGGGCTCGAATCCTGAAGAAGGAATGGGTGTTTGTAAACGTGTAATGTCGGTGCGGCATGGCGGCACTCTAAATATGCGGCGAACCGAAAGTCCTCTCGTGTGGTTTGGTGGAAGGGGAGTGGGGTGGGGAGACTCTCGGACCCGTCCCCCCGGGATGCTCTGCATCAAAATTGGGGGTCGGAACTGAGCTAAAATCGCACTGTCACCTGAATGGTGCTCAAGACCAGCGGTCGTCAACCCTTAGAACTTCACGAACCACTACATATATAATTTTATATTTCGCAGATCACTAATATGAATTTAAAAAAATTTAAATACATTTATACAAATAATCAGCAAACTACATATATTTCTTCATATTGAAAAATCATATGAAAAGTATAAAAATCTTACCCACCCAAAAATCTTGTACAGAAAGCTTCATATTTCCATATCACTGGAAAGTATCTTCACGACAAGCAAGAACAAACCGGCAAACGCAAAGCAACATCAATAAACTGATAGTGTTATTTCGCCAATTTTTAATTATTGTAAACATCGCTTACTCAGTTAATCACTGCGCCATCAGCAATGGCGCGATCGATCAACAGTTAGACAGGAAAAAAGAAAAAAAAAACTGAAACTTCCAGTGATGCAATTATAAACAAGAATGCAGAAGAATGAAAATGAAATCCATCAAGTTGATGAATTTCATTTTTCATGAAACTCCATCAAGTTGCCTATCGACACGGAGAAAAACTGTATTATTAACGACTAAAATAGCATATGTTCGTAATTCAAAAGGAAAGAGAATTTCAGTTATTGATAGCAGCAGCATATCCATGGATGCCAACTCTCACTTTCAAATGTCGCTCGATACACCTGCAAAAGTATCTAAAAAGTCGCTAAATTCAGTAGGATTTTCGCTAAAAGTAGTAGCTAAAATTTTTAAAGAAAAGTATAATCCATATTTCATAATAGGTTTTGTTACTCGTCATTTTTAAAACTGAATCTTCATAAAAATATAAACAATGTCCCAATTTTGCTGAAGACTATCAAAAGGTTTTCACGCACCATCAGTGGTCCGTGAACCACCGATTGGCGACTGTTGCTCAAGACTGTTTCCAACGGCAGGCGTAATCTAGAATCCTTGGCACGAGGAATTTCGTGGGCTTGGGCTGACTACGTCAGACAAGTGAGCATAAGCAACAACATCAAAAAACTTCTGTTTAGAATTTCCTTTTTTAAACTGCAACTATATTTTTGAAAGTATAAATTATCTTCTGCTACTTGACAGTTTTGTTTTCATGAAAAATGGCAACAATTTTGTTTTCATGCAAAATGGCGCTTTTAGACAAGCAATGGATGGAAGATTATGTTTGTGGTCTTTCCGAAGAAATTTATTCCTATCTAGTTATTAAAAAACGCTGTGAAAGCTACAGTTTTAAAATATCTAAAACTACGATACGAAATGTTATCAGCAAGAAAGGAAAAAAAACTTCAGAGGTGGCTTCAAGTGGAAACACTGGTCAAAATACATATGCAAGGAAAAACCGGAATGCTGCGGATGTTGCAAAGCAGGATTTTTAATGTCAAAATAAAATTCGCCAAGTGAAAGAACAGTTGCAAAATCATTAAAATGTTCAGTGTGAACTGTAAATAAATTGATTAAGGCTGATTTGAATCTTAAAAGGGCTAAAAACATAATGTGAATCGTCATTCCCTACGACAAATCGTCGAAAGCAGAACACGCTGCAGAATTCTTTTTGAGAAACATTTATCCAGACAAAAATCAAAAAATTTTGCCACCATAATTGCATTTAGTATGTATTTAAATGACCGCGATAAAAAGAGATGTATTTAAATCATCAAGCGGGAGATAAAAATCTTAAAACATAGTTCAAATAATCGAAAGAAAGTTTTCAAAGGGATTTATGATTGTTGTTGATTTTTCGTATAGCGGCAAATTAAAACTACAGTGTCGAGATCTTAACATTATTCTCGACACTAGTGTCGAGAATAATGTTAAGATCCACTCCACAACCTAATTTTTAAGTATGAAACACCTTCTCATTCCTCACAGTGCTAGTCATCAGTTGAACTACATCAAGACAAAGCAAGCAGCACACGTCAAAATCCACTGCTAATTTCTTGGAAAAAAATGGAATAATAAACGGCTATCAAGGCCAGACCCACCACTTTGTATCCCTGCTAAATCGACTTATGTAATCATCCATAGATTTTTGCGCTTTTCGACTTTTAAAAAGCAGATTGCCGAAACGTTAACCTACATCTTTCCTTCGACTTCGGAAAGATGATGAAGAGGAATGGAAAAAAATAACCTCTTCCCGATAGCATAATTCACAAGTGCATATCAGTATCGCCACTGAGAAAGGAGTTTCAAAAATGAACCAATGAGCTTCTTTTGCTTTTGTGACGCTGAAACTTTGAAGCTGTGGATATGAGCGCATGTTGTCGTTTACGTTTTATTTGCATTAGTTTCGCAGTTATATATGTATGGCTATAAATGCTGGTAAAATGTTAGTAGAAAATCCCGCTATGCTTTCATTTTTCAGAAGTTTATTTAATCGTCAACATTTCACTTTCGTGAAACATATCAAGCACTTATATTCGGATTAATGTTCACGGCATATTAACACTCTTTAACTGAGAAAATGACTCAAGATACAGTTAGCATCGAACATTCTGCGTTTACTAACACATGTCGATTAAAATAATTCAAGTGTACAATTTTTTAATTGATCTGAGATTAATTGGAAGCATTACAATGAATCTGTATTTTCTTATCTCAATACTTGCATTCTTTCAATTTCGAAAGTTAAGATCCAAAATATATATCGTGAATGATATAACTATATTTGTTGTTACCATTAAACGTTACATATGAATAAAATAAATATATTCGTTGTGAATAAGGTAAATTCATTTTGTTTGAAGAGTGTTTCTTGTGCAGGCAATACGGTTAAGAGTAAACTATTAATATGAAATTTAGCACACTAAATGTATAAGTATGCAAATTAGGAAAATTCACTTTGAATAAAACTGTGCATTGGCACAGAACATCCTATTCACAGAGACCGCAATAAAAATTGCTAAGATTTACACTACTTACATATGTAATTATGCTTATAATTGATCTTATTTCCCATTGAAAATTTTCACAATAAATCCACAATGCTTTAATTATTTTATTCAGGAAATTGAGTAGTAAAACATTTTCAACCATCTTGCTTAAAACGCGGCTAAGGTCATATGGAATGACAGAAATATTACTGGAAGCCCATTGGTCGATTCTAGAAAAATATGCCTTCCGATACTACAAAAAGTTTTATTGACTTGAAAATTACGGTGTAGAAAGATAGTGAAGAATAATGTTTATCAAATAGAACATTTAAAACACAACAATGGTAGGTAAAATGTAGCTGTAAATAACAATGAAAATCGTCTGTCTGCAAAATGTGCGAACAACCGTTGTATAGCGGCGAGTCTATAGTAAGCAACAAGTGAATGCTTGTATTAACAAGCGAATGCATTGTTGGTATTTTAGGTTTAAATGCGAGTAACTTGTTTAATTCGAAAAATAATACAAACTTGCGTTCAACCAAAGTGACTGATTTATCTTTGAGTAACGAATGTTTAGCAACTTCGCGGAAACGACTGAAAGGGCTTACTTTTATGCGATTTTGCCACAAATGAAAGTCTAAAGTTTGCATTAGGCTAATCCTGTTTCTCTACATCATCAATTAAAATGACGTTATTTCTAATTAGGTTTTCTCGAAATTCAAATAATCTGATACTAAATGAAGTAAGTAAACAGGAATAGCAGACAATAGCTTTCGAAATCACTCCAGTACTAGAATGAAGAAACACGCAACTCCCAAGCTTATAGTCTAAAGAATTTGACGCCAAAATAAATTTAACAACGACATTTAAAAATTACTAATGTCTAATTTTTATAGCTTATTCTGTTTTTAATTATTTTTAGTAATATGTGAATGAAAGTTATACAGATAATTATTAATATAAATAATAATTATTAGACCAAAGTGGCAATTTGCCCTGAAGGAATATAAATTTCGTTTTTGCGTTTTGCCTCGATTCACGATAAGCGTTGTTTCACTTTTCAAATTGTTGCCACCGAATATTATCGTCCTGTATTATAATATTTATAGAAAATAAATATAATACAGGACGATAACTAGAGCCAGCAAAATTTGAATAAAGTAATCTTCTATAGAATACGGGTATGTGGAAGCGATAATTTGAATTTGCAATTTGTTTTATTATCGATTGCATATTTTGTATTACTTCAACGAATTTTTGATTAACAAACCAAACGATTTCAAAGCGAGCATTGGCAACACTGTACGGGCAAAAAAATTATCTCCAGCGGAAATTCTAAAGATATTTTCATTTTGAAATTATTTTGCGATATTATTGTTGAACTGAATTTTATGGTATGAGTATGTAGAACATGATATTTAATAAATAAAGGTCACATACAAAACGTTAAAAAATGTACTTTTGGGCGTAATATAAAATCTGAATTCTGCCAGTTTTTTTAGAATTTTATTTTATTTTCTGTAATGCTTCGACTTTTTGTATTTACTTTCTTACGAGATCTGAATTAGCGTTGGGGTATATTCTCTTGAATATTTGAGAATCTGGAGTAAATTTTGTAAAAAAAAAAAAAAAAAAAAAAAAAAAAAAGTATAATTATTTCGATTTGCTTCTATGTTTGTACTCAGTCAAATGGTAAAGATGGACAAAGCGTGCGTTCAGAACTCCTTAATTATTCTTGTTTAACGTTTTAATTAACTACACACTGAGCAGTCTGATTGAAGCATGAAACTATGAATAGTTAAACTGTAGTGTAGTTTATTATTTGTGTTTTTTAAAAAATGATTTTATTAGCTACTTTTAAGTTTATTTTAAAGTTACATTTGACAAATACTTTACTCAATACTGCTTTAATTGCTAAAATTTGCTTACTAATTCTTTTTCGAAATCAATATTTTCCGTTGCAATATCTTTTTTACTTTCCGAAACAGTATAATTTTTCTCCTTTTTTAAACTAAAGAAAAAAATTAATTAAAAAAAATTCACTTTGTTTTGTAAAATTATTTTGTAATGATGTAAATAATTTGATAGAGGTGTTTATCCAAAATAAAAAGCAAACTTGGTAGCTGAGGAAAATTAAATGTTCTTTTATTATTTCAAAAGACGTTTTGTGCCTACTTCCAGAATATTTAGACTTGATAGCTTTGCGGTAAGAAAAGAAGCAAAAGGAACAGTCGATCTAGGAGAAGGTGCAGAAAGCAAGAGCGAAATGGAATATGGAACATTATTATAAGAAAAAGTTCGGTTTCCTAAATTTTGAGTCCAAATTCCGAATTAGCTACGTCATCATCATTATGTAAAAGTCATATGGGGTTGCTCATAGGGTCGGTATAAGCTACACAAGCTATAGCTTGGTGCTCCCAAAATTATAG